TAGTATTTAAGAGTAAAATAGACTATGAATTGCCTTAAGACATGACCATCTATTTTCATGGTCTCCAACACAAGGTCTCACATAAATTTCGTGCTTAGGAGGTATATGTTTTTAATGAATATTTACTGTAAGAGATGGACTTAGGCACTGGAGTAAAAGACAGGGTGGAATATATACTTTAAAAATTATTATTTCTACTAGTTTTTTGGCATATTTGACTCAACACACTTCTTGTCTAAAGTACAGTTATAATGTATGTATCTTAGTAAAGCTTCTTAAGATTGAGAAGTGAACAAACTTTTCTCATATCCAGTAACATACTAAAGTGAGCATCGCTCTCCATGAGTATCTTCTTTAAGCCCTTCTCATTTTGCAGGTCCTCGATCGCATTTTTTAAAATTTATGTATTTATGTACATATTTATTTAAGAGAGGAAAGGAAGAGAGAGAGAGACAGAGAGAGAGAGAACACACGTTTATTGTTCCACTTTCTTGTATGTGTCCTGACCAGGATCAAACTCGCAACCTTGGAGTATCAGGAAGATGCTCTGATCTGAGCTACCTCATCAGGGCCCTTTATTTTATTATTATTATTTCCACTGCTTTGTATTTTAGCAGCTATACATGCACGTTTACCCTCTCCTGTCCCATTTACATGCTCTGGCAACCGCATTGAGTTCAAGCACTGAACAGTGACTGGCACCCAGGAGATCAAATTTTCATGCATTTCAGTTGAATTAACATACTTTGAACATCCAACAACATTGCACATCTATAACCATGCATTTGAAAACACTAAGCACAAATGTGTTTCTGTGTGTCCCTGGTTCCTATTAAAATCTAGTAAAAGCTATGGGCCCTCCTCTATTCAAATGCATACATGCATATTTTACAGATGATTTTAGGCGTTCATGGAATCTCTAATAGTTACCAATAGATCCAGGCCAATAACTTTCATACAGTTTATTCCACAATGCTGGAAAATTTAGAAACAATCTTTATATTACTTGATAGACAAATCTTTATTTAAATAGCTAGTTTCTCAGAAAACATGCAGCTGTAAGAAAATAAATTGCTAATTTAATGATCATTGTCAAATATGTTCATATACATCAAACACCAGGAAATGAAGGAAGTTCAGTTGCTTCTAAAAAATTAATACGAATATTAATTTTTAAAAGTTGGTCATCTCAACCAGAGAAGTAAAAAAGAAGGTAAGGCACAGAATGAGGAATGTTCTTAAATACACTTTAAAAAGAGGACAAAATGTGTTACATTGAATAAGAAACAGAGTTTGTTTATTCTTTTAAAGAGACAGTAATCATGAGATTAGGATCAGTTTAAGATTTTTATAAACTACGTTATCATATTTATTTTTAATGTGAAAAATCTTTTATTTTACCATGTAAGATAACTTTTGTCTAAAAATTTCACTTACAAAGCATATTATTAAATTTGTGTTTTTAGCAATACTGTTATATTTGAGGCTAGAACTTCAGCCTATAGTTCTCAACAGAAATTACTTTTTACCATGGAAAAACTGACCAAGGAACATTTCAACATGACATCGTGCCATAGAATTAACCCTTCTAATTAAGGAATTGCAATTGCCAGTAAGCTGAAGGAGAAAAAATAGAAACAATTTACAATGTGCAGTTCCATTTTCTTTTAGAGAAGAAAAATATTACAGGTATAAGAATCAAGACTATGTGGATGTACAAGTACATGATTTGTTTCCAATGACTAGCCAGAACCAGTGGAAAAACAAATCAGTTGTACATCAGAGCTATTATTAAGCCTTTAAAATGAAAGTCAGATTCTCACTCATGATCTCATTCTGTCTGGCTTAAATTACTAAAGAATTTCTCCCCAAACTTTGCCAAAAATGTGAAGGTATCTAGAACATATGCAGATCTAATTTCAATTACTATTTATTTTAATGTGATTTATTTTATTATAATACTGGACAATTAAGAATGGTTTCTAAATGATACAGCCTTTACTTAAATCTTAGCTTAGTTAAACTTCCTCTGTGCTCTTGGCTCATCTCAATTTTATGGTCAAAAGAATACAAAACCTCTAATAATTCTTATCTCCCAGGTCTCTGTCCCAGTTCTTACAGTTTATATATCTCCCTGATATACAAAGTTTATGCAATTTCCCCTGGTGTACTTGTTTTCAATTCTCCTAACCTCGATATCTTCATGAAATTTTCCTTTCACAGATACTGTCCACTCATCAAGTTTCACTGCTTTTTATTATCATAAATAGAGCTGCTTTTCAATAATGTATGGCCATAAGCTCATAATGCCATAAAAGCCATTTCAAAATAGACGTTCAAACTGTTTTGGGCAATAAAAGCCAGTTGCACTAATAGAAGTGAATAATTTAAAAGATAAAACTTCTTTTGATATATAAATTCTGGTACAGATGTAATAATATCTTTTTTATTCATTGTATAGCTCATGAGAAAATTATCATTTTTTTATTACTCATTTTGTAATGAGAAATTACTGAAAATCAATCATTCTCTTAGCTTTTAAGTGTCTTTTCTATTCACAATAGTTATTCAGTACCGACCACATACAAGGCACCATGGTAGGCCTTGTGGGGGGTTAATTCAACTTTTATGTTATTGCAGCAAATGAGAACTCTATCGTTTATGCCGATTTTGCTGAAGACTCCTGTGAGAAAATGCATATGATAACTATCACTAGGCGATATAGTTATTAAAATTTTTATTCACTCACCTCTTGGCCATATTAAATTTCCCCACAATAGAGAAGAAAAATAACTCAATTTTGCCACGTGTATTTTTTTTTCATCTTTTATTTCTCAAAAACCTATTCTTTTAGCCGTGGGGAACACTTTTATTAAAGGAACTCAATTTCAGATTTCACAGTAGAGATCGTTGAATAGTATGTATTAGATCACTTTATGGCTAAAAATTTATTTTGGAATCCCTCAAATCTAGTGGTTTAATTTTCTCTTAACCTTTTCATTAACATTAAGATATAAAATCTAACATCTCCCTCAAATAGAACAAATCACCCTGATAATTTCTATTTACCTAAGAGAGCAAAAATAATTATTAGAAATAGTTCCACATAACTTTGCAGAACTAGTAGATGTATATCACATTGATTTTTATTTCAAGTTGTTGTAGTACTATTAGGTTTAATAATAATAAAAAGAATAATCATGATACAATTTGTATGCTTCTTATTTTGTACCAATGTACTTAACAATTCACACATATTCTCTGAATTTTTAGAATAGTCATTGTGAAGTAGTTAATATTATCTTGATTTAAGAGAGGACTAGAGAGATTCAGTAATTTACCCAATGTCAAGCAGGTAATAAATGATAGAGTTAGGATTTGAACTCAAGGAAAATACTTTTGAGGATTCGAAAATTATACTTTTAAAAATGTTTTACATCCAGTAATGTATATTACAGAATAAAGCACACTGAATAAAGAAAATGGCAATAAAATGCACTTCACTGTAAAAGTATCGGGGAGTTGAATAATATTACTTACCTTCCTTTGTTTCCAACAACTGTGTAAGATTTCTTCCAGATTTGATGGGCTTCTTATAACTTTACTTCCCGTTGTATTTTAGAAGGATTTTTTGCATGCTGAAAATATTAGACCTTTTTAATATTTTTCTCTCTGGAATCTATTGTCTTCCACCCATTAGCTCCCACCATGACAGTTCCTCAGCAAGGGAATGTGTTTCCACGCTGTGCTGAGAAACTGGGTACACTCTTAGCTATGATTTAAAGTCTTTTCTCATCACCAATGAACATTTCATAACACCACACTTTAGATAACATTAAGTAAAACATGCCCCCAATCTTCTACTTTTCTAGTATCATCAAAATGCGGATAGTTTCTATATAGTTACAATTTATTGAATCAGAAGAATAATTAGCAAAGCTAAATATAGCTGAGATTCTAATTTTGTTTATAATATGGTAAATGCATTTATTTTGGAAAATATATTTAATAAACTGACCAAAGGAAAATGAATTTACTGAATACGTGTCTATATTCGCAAAATATTAAAGATTTAATATAAAATATTTCTATTAAAAATTTTAAACTTGTCTCAGCTGTTTTCTAAGCAATAGTGTGATATTTGAGAAATGCACAACTTATTAAAAAAAGTTACATTGTTCAACTATTTTACTATTCATCAAAAACACATTCGAATTCTAAAATTATACTTGACCTGACAATTCTCCCTATTCTATGGGCTCACCCAAACATTGGTATAAGATTAAGACCCTTACATTTTCCCCATTTTATTGAGACATAATTGATATTCATCACTGTATAAGTTTAAAATGTACAGCATCATGATTTACATATATCATTGTGAAATGGTTACTATAGTAGATTCTGCTCAAATCCATCTTCTCATATAGATAAAATGAAGGGAATAGAGAGAAAAAAAGAAAAACACTCCTCCTTGTGATGAGAACTCCTAGGATTTACTCCCCTATACATCATACCACAGTCTTAGCTATATCATCATACTGTAAATTTCACCCCTAAAAGACACTTTTAAAGGTACCAAAAAAACTTACTAAACATTTTGATATTAAATTGCACACAAAATTTTTCAAGAGAGCAAAGTTCTTTTACATCAACTTTGCATGTTTTTTAAATACAGATAAATCTCTTAATATGGTAGCACTAAAATATTTTAAACATAAAGTTAAATTATATATTAAATACGTTTGATTTTATCTTTGAATTGTAATTATATTTTGTAAACTAAGATCAAATGGTTTATGAATCTTTAGTTCTATACATAACAGTAAGTAGTTATGTATAGGTAGAGCATGCCCCAAATTTTCTTTTTATAACATATTCACTGCTTCATGGGCAACACATAAAAGCATATTATCTCATGAACTTCTAGAGCATGGACTGGAAAGGATCTGAGGAGTATTTAAAAGAAGATGGAATTAACTAAAATAGTACTTACGGGTATGGAGAAGGTAGAACTTGGTAAGTATGGAGGTTGCATCAAAGCGGCAAATATCATTGGAATGTTCAGATTTCATCCAGGCAATTAGATATAAAGATAATAAGGTGAGAGGAGAGACGTGGGGTATTTTTAAAGAAAGTGAAAACAGTAGAGCACGTATCAAATCCCTTATTAATACAGAGGGAAACAAATTAGAGCTATTGTTTGGCATCGTAAAGGCAAACCAACTTGTTCATTGAAAGACTTTTCACTTTTCACCTTGTTTTGGCAGCCAATAGACACAGCCTCGCACTCGCTGCTCAGTAGGGTATTGGAACTACAGCTCCCCATTCCCCAGGGAAGCAGTGTGATTTCACAAACCATGGTAAATGAAAATGAATATTTTCAATATGATATAATTAAACATTATGGGAAAGAATGGATTGGGGTTCTTTGTGACATTTGGCTAAACATGCTAGCTAGCAAAAATACACAAGTGAAGGTCACATTTGCAATTATTATAAAAGTGTCTACATTTTAATTAGGTAGCTGATAAATGTCATTGAGCCTTAGCCACTGACCAACTGTCATTTAAAAGAAGAAGAAAAATGTCACCTAAAAAGTAATTTTTTTTTTTGCATTGTCATGAAATTAAAACTTGTAGCCACAATAAACTGCATTCAGTACTAAGGTGTCAGGTAGGCTTAGTGACAATCTGAAATAAAATTTTAAATAGAAATATTTAACCAGCATGTAAAATGCCACTGGTAATACAGATTTTCAAACATTGTTTTATAAAACAGGTTTACCTTTACTGCAGAGCCATACGGAGCCACACTAGTTTTGAAAGGGTCTTCTTACTTTAGAGAGTGCAGTTTAAACAGTATATTTTAGCTTGCGAGTTTGCCATAAATTCATTCTTTGTTAATTTGAATTAAATATCTATTGAACTTTCTTCTCCCATGGCAAACCAATCTTCAGCCTCAGACAATTCTGTACCTAACATAAGATTTTTTAAAAATTAACACCACTTCTTAGAAATTCAAAAAATATTTTGAACATTGTAGTACTTCTCAAAAATTATTTTTCCCTTTCCACTGGGGAAAACAAAATGTAAAACCTGCATCATATATACTAATATGAATTTCCTTTAAATTAGCATTTGAGCCCTGGCCTGTGTGGCTCAGTTGGTTGGAGTATTGTCCTGTAGACAGAAAGGTCATGGGTTCAATCCCTTGTCAAGGCATATGCCTAAATTTAGAGTTCAGTACCCAGTTGAGTTGCATGCAAGAAGCAACAGATTGATATTTCTTTCTCACATTGATGTTTCTCTTCCTTCCTCTCCCCTTCCCTTCTCCTCTCTCTAAAATCAGTAAGCATGTCCTCAGTCGAAGAAATAAAAGGAAAATTAGCATTTGAAAATGACACAGAAAAGTAAATATATGTAGAGCTTTTATGGTCAACTTGACTTACATTTCTGTATCTGGATTTTTAAAGCAATCATAAATAAATTCAAATAATAATTTTAAAAAAGCCAAAATAAATAAACAAGTAAAGGAATCATAAAGAAAATGATCAAGAAATTTACCTACATGAAAATTTAAATCTTCTGTAGTATACTATCATCAAATTAAAATTCACACTATACTAAATGGAATTATTGCCAGTCATTATGTACAAAAAGCTTTTAAGAATCAAAGAAAACAAATGAACTCAATAGGGTACAAAAGAAAACTATTTTATACATAATTCAATGAGGAAATCTGGACATGTGAGAAAAAGAAGTATAAGATCAATAATCAAAATGAAAATCCAAACAATAATGAAATAGCATTTTTCATTAAGATATTTTAAAGGGTAATTGACATTAGTAATCATCTAATAAAAGGATATACAAAGTATGGTAACACAATGTTAAAAATTATTGCTTTCTCATGATGTTGGCAGGAGTATAATTAAATCAATATTACTAGAAAAAAGTATAGCAAGAGTTATTTTATATTCAGAAATTCCACTTCTATGATGTTTTGCTACAGAAAGTATCCATAACAGAGACAAAAATTGTACAAGTTATTTCTGTAGCATAATGTATGACAGATAAATTAATCATATCATAGGGACATGGTTAAATAAATGATAACAACCCGGAATGTTATGTTATCAATAAAATGCTCCTGAAGAACATTTGTAACAGGATTCAATATTTACAATATAATATTAAATAAAAATTAGAAGTTTACATGTATAAACTAATTTCAGTTTCTTAAAAAAAAAAATCTGTTTATGTCTATGTTGGCATATCTGTCTGTAAATCAAATGAGGAATATGAGAGTTTGGTTTTGCAAAAGGTCCTACTTCCAGATCCCAGGATCAGAGATGATTTTGATTCCACAGTGAACATGTATCTTTTAAATTGGAAGATTTAATATTAGAATTCATGAGGAATTTAAGTTACTGCTATTTCCTTCGAATCTGAATCTCATAAATTATTCCATAAGAAAAAGGATTAATACAATAACCACTCTAAACCAAAAGGAGTAAATGGCAGCTGAGCTAAACACTCTCACAGATTGAGATGCTTATTCTTTTGAAATTAAATTCATATGAAAGTAAAACTTTTGAGTTGGGAAGTAGTAGTGTTGTAGTGTAGTAGTAGTGTTTCTTGGTACTTACCAAGAAATAGCAGCTCCACAGTTGAAAGTCACTTTCTGGAAATACAGTTTGTTACATATTAAGTGGCACAGATGAGGCAGCAGTGGAGTCACTGACTGAGAGTGACATTAAGAATCAGGCTGCAACATTTTAACTTGCTTGATGTCTTTATCATTATTTAACTAAGTAACTGAGCCAGATCAGCTGTCAGTTTGGGCTAGAATACCACAACCACAGTAGATGAGTGAATTTAAATGATTTGCAAGTATTTCTTCTGTTAAATGAAAATTCACCTAACTTTGCTAAAATGTCATTGAGAAATTGTCTTTTGATGTCTTCTTTGAAGAAATTGCAGTCAGTTGCAAAGTTTTTAATTTATTCCAGTATCTGCCTCACTAGTACATAGTTAACTATGGTCAAAGCTGTGGAGCTGTCTTTGAAGAAAAATTGCCTTATTGGAGTGAGGTCATCTGAGGACTTCAATAACTAAGGCCCCTTTGAAGGGATTTCTAAACAACCTTTTCATGTGCTAAGTAGCAAAATAAAAGTCATAGACATATTTTATTTTTAAAGTGATTATTTTCCCTTTGTGAGATATGAACAAGGCTCAATTCAAATTCCACCTCTAGCTCCAAGGCTTTTTTTTTTATTGATATCAAATGCTTCTTCATAGATGTTCACACACAAGTTAGGTTGAACAGTAATTCATTTATGCACCTATTTTACTCTCCCTTTTCATATTGTGGTTTGTGGCTTGGCCCTCACAATGAGACTGTGATCACTGGAAAGAGTAACAAACAGTTGAAGAAATCAACATGAAAATTTCTTTAGTGGGTAATGTATAAGGAATTTGATTTACTCAGAGCAGCTGCACATAGGAGAAACTAAGGCACAAACCCAAGTGGGCAGCAAAGCTTTCTTGGACCTTACCAATTTCCTTACAGAGACGCACATCTGAAGAAGCTAAAGCCAGCATGGAGGGAGGATTCCACCAGGCCTGGGGGAAATCTTTATTATCTTAATTGGATGGAGATTGTGGCATTCTGCCCCCTTACTGCGGTATGGCTTCAGCCTATGCAAGTGTAAAAGCTACTTCCCATACATCCTCTATTTGCAAAGAACTAACCTGATGAAGACCCTTTCTTTAAAACTGTCAGTATATTTTTCATTTGAATGGCTATCAGTATCAGACTGAGTTTTGTTCATATTCTATGATTATAAAGTCACGACCCAGAAGTTTACACTATTCTACTCTTGGTTTGTAAGAACTCTTTGAAGGCAAAGATTTTATGTCTTCCCTTTTTTGTATTCCATAGTTACTTTTTAATTTTCAATACATAATAGTTGATCATTTTGTGTATGTTGAATAAATGCTAAATCCCATATTGTGTTATATTTGTCTTTGTAGCCAATGCATTTCAAGATTATTCTTAGCTACCTAAAATTCTTTGAATGCGATGGCTGCCTTGAATTTCACTCATAAATCCATAATGACTTAGTGATGAAATGAATGTATCTACATTTTATTGATTGTAGGAACAATACTGCACAGCCCAAGAAACATGGAGCATAATGAAATATACATGTTTTTATTTTATATCTCTACATATAAATAAGTCATAACATTCTCATAGAATACTTTTTAAAATTGGGGAAGATATTTTGTTTAATTATTTTTAATCACAGCATTTATTGCTAAAAGTTATCAGCTTTATTTGATTTATTATCAAATTCTCTCTGAACTATCTTAAGTGCACAGGTAATAGGAAAGTAAAAGCTAATATAATCATTACAAAGTTAAAACTTCACTGAAACCTTTAATTATCCAAAACAAGAGGGAATTCTTTAATCAGTAAATTAATTTGGTTATATATCACAACGAGCTCCTTTCCTAATTTCCTCAGTGATTAGAAAACAATATTCATATTATGAAAGAAATATAAATTTAATGCAATCAAACTTTATGCTTTTACTAACTTAAAGAGATATCATCTAAATACTATAGATTTTAAAACCTAAACCATAGTGATATATATGCAAAACAGAAGAACTATAAAAACAACTCTTTTTTTTGCAATAAAAACATATATAATACCCAGCTTGAGGTGTAATAACTTTCATGATATACAAATATATCGTGAAAGCATTTATCATTTAGGAAAAAAATGAAGTCCCGCAAAACATATATTTCATGACTTCAATTGTAGACAGTGTACCTGAAAAGGAGTGATAGAAGTAATTTAGAGCTATGCTGTTTTTTGTTTGTTGTTTTTTACCCTGTAAGTATATCTGTTTTTCAATCTTATGCAAAAAAGACTATAAATGTGTTGCTGTTAAATTTTTTCCTTAGATCTTCAAAGTATTACAGTTTAGATGTCTGGCTTTGGTG